CCTAAACCCTAAACCCTAAACCCTAAACCCTAGTTTGTGACTTGTTTACTGTTGGAGAGTCCTGCTCTTGCTGCAGCTCTAAAAGCTGCTTCATTTCTTTTGGGGGTTTTGCAGCTGCGGGCGAAAAGCCCTTCTCTGCGCAAAGCATTAACTAATTAATTAATTAATTTATTTATTTATTAATTTATTAATTTATTAACTAACTAACTAATTAATTGAAACTTTACCAATTAATTGGTGGTCTGATGAGTTAGTACTTCTATTATTCCATATTTTTGCTGCTGTTTTGTCTTTCTTTGTCTCTTTGCAGCTAAAGCCTTGGGGGCCCCTCACCTCCACCCTGGGGGCCCCCGGGGCCCCTGGGGGGCCCCCCGGGGCCCTCGGGGCCCCCGGGGTCTTCGGGGCCCCCGGGGCCCTCGGGGGCCCCTGGGAGCTCCCAAGTACTAAAAGAAGAGGCAGAAGAGAAAGAGGGGGCCCCCCTTTTCAGCTGCTGCCCAAGGGCCCCCTGAGGAGACAAAGCCAGTCTCAGATCTTCAGCAGAAATGCAGCGAAAGAGGGGCCGCTCTAAGGCCTTGGGGGGCCCCTCAAAGTTCTTGGGGGCCCCCCTGTGGGGGTCCCCCACAGAAGGCCCCCACAGGGGGCCCCCCTCCAGCAAGCTCAGAAGCGGCACCCCCAAGGGCCCCCAGGGAGGACCCCGGGGGGGCCTTCTGGGGGGCCCACCAGAGGCCCCTAGGGGCCCCCAAGAGGGGCCCCCAGGGGGCCCCCCAGGGCCCTGGCGGCTGGAGGGGGCACAGAGGGTTTGAGGGGCCATTTTGGGCTCTTGATTTGGGGTGTATGTACACCCTAGGAAGTAAAACTAGCAGCTGGAGACGGCATGGTGGACTAAATAGTTAAAATTATATTTTGAAATATATTTATGTATAAAAAGGATTCGTTTTTCTGTTCATTATTGGCGCCTGGGGTCTCGGGGGTTCAGTGGGAGAAGATGCTGAGGTGTATGTACACCTCAGTTTAGCCCGGAGCAACCCGTGCATCTGTTTGCATTTCTAATTTGCATTTATTTTTATTAATTCTTTTTTGAACAATTAGATTAAACTCGCGGCGCCTAAGAACCCGAACAGCGCAAACTGCAGCAGCAAGCCCCAGCCCCAGCCGCTGCTGCTGCTGCTGCTGTTGCTGCTGCTGCATGCGTTCTGCGTGGGATCGATCTCGTTTCCCTCTTCAGGTGTACGTACACCTCGGCAGCGCACCCATGTGACCCTTTATTCCGCATCACTCCGCGGGGCAGATTGAGCACCTCTGGTGCGTGCAAACCCTAAACCCTAGACCCTAAACCCTAAGCCCTAAACAGCGGGCCTCACCGGGTTACTGCTGCTGCTGCACTGGCTTCTTGCTTCTCCCTTAACCCTTTTTCCCTCAGGAGCTTCTCAAAACCCTTATAAGCCTAGGGGCCCCCAGCCGGCCCCCAGGGGCCCTACCAGGGGCCCCTGCAGCTGAAACAGGGCACAGCCAGCAGCAGCAGCAGCAGCAGCAGCAACTGCTGCTGCAGCAAAACGCGACTCCACCTCCCCCATCTGCGCCGCAAATGTCCACATACGCAATAGCGGGGCCCCCCAGCCTCCTCGCGGGGCCCCCGGGGGCCCCCGGGGCCCCTGGGGGCCCCCCGGGGGCCCCCGGGGGCC